AGGTTATTCGCCTGCAAGAAAAGGTGCTGGTGCGGGACCGTAGCAGGATGTGACGCATATTTTAGTTGACCTAATTAAAACCGTTTTAAAAAAAAAAAGTGTCATAGTGTCACCTCAAAATACAAGATACGAAACATTTTCAACCGTGCAACAAACTATAAATACTCCTACAAATATTTTTCTTTTATTTCCTTCTTATTTTTGTCTAAACTCAAGGGAGCCAGAGTAGAGGGCTTAAAGAGCCTTATGCAGCTTGAGAGCCGTGGGTTGCCGACCCCTGGTCTAGATATAACGAGAATGAAGATGGATCCAGATGGATGTCAACAATCTTTCCGGTACCGCCAGAAGTAGTAAGGTGGACGTCAGGACAACAACCAAAACTCATGATCAAAGCGTAACCGAGCCAACAGGAAGTGCGCCGGACGTTGATACTAATTTTCCTAGTGGCCAAACAGTGGTACTATAACTTCTGTGTCAGTCTATGACAAAAATACTTTTTCCCATTGACTAACATTGGGAAAGAGAGACGTCTGTAAATCAGCAGATTATTTGTACTACCTAGTATGAACACTTTTATAGCCCTAATTTAAATCATTAGGGTTTAAAAGTTGAGAGCGGTAGATTGGAGGCAGGGTTTGTGCGCACACTCTATGGGTCCAAATACGGGTCATTTTTTTTCTTTCTTCGAAAGTCAGGCTGTATTCAATGCGCCACTGAGCAACTTTCAAAGGGAAGAACGGGGTCTGGCCTCCAACGCTGTATCCAGTTCTCTTTATACATCAATGGGCATAACTTGTAATACTAGCAACCGGCCAGGTGAGAAGAAACTCTGGGGAAGCTGAGTTAGATACCGATGACATGTGTGCGTGATAGAGAGAAAGATAAGAGAGATGGAAGTAAAAGTTGAAAGTCCCCCGACAGACTAAGCCAATAGTAGCATAACTAGGGGCTGGCTCAAGGCAAGCCTGATCCAGCCCTAACTAAAAGCTTTATCATAAAAGGAAAGTCTTAAACCTGCTCTTAAAAATGGAGAAGGTGTCTGCTTCCTGAACACAAACTGGAAGCTGTTTCCACAAAAGAGGAGCTTGATATCAAAAGGCTCTGGCTACTATGGCTTTTAGAGACTCTAGGAACAACAAATAACTCCTTCATTCTTGAATCCACAATGCCCTAGTGGGAAAGTAGGCTATTAGACACTCTTTAAGATAGGATGGTGCCATTGAGGGCTTTGAAGGCAATCTTCAAGTCATCATTAAAAACTCACCTGTTCACCATGGCCTTTGACCCCCAACCCATCACAGTCCCTCTGCTTCCACTCCTACTGCTATTTATTACATGTTTTACTTTATTATTTGCCCCTTTTGTTTGTTTGTTCACCATGTAACACATTTCATCTATTATTATTGTGAGGGAAACTTCTGAAGCAATTGGAAACAGGACTCACAGAGACACAAGGAGAGCAGGAAGTTTGATGGCAAACACTGACGGTTTATTTGGAACTTCTGCGAATTTTAGATTCCATCCTTTATTTCATATGGAGCCAGTGCCAAGCAGCCAATACAGGAGTAATATGGTATTTTTCTTATCTATAAAGGACGACATATTTTGCACCATTTATTCAGGTCACTACCAACTGTATCACCCCATTATCTCTATTTACTCTACTAGAAAATCATAGTACCATATGTAAAAGGCTACAGGTGAAATCCACATCCCGGTGCTAGTTCCACACGGATGAAAACAACCGTTTGTGCTGTAATACATTTTTATAAAACTCTAATGAGGAAATATGAGCTCCCTTGCGCTTCAAACCAGATCACGTAATTATCTTCACTTACTGCTGCACAGGCTGTTGCAAGCAGGGTAATGGCATAACAATAGCTCTCCCCTAAGGTGCCCAGCACAGTGTGAAAGGCTGTGACACGGATCAATACTTTACAGAAATGCCTTGACTCCGCTCCGGGTTGAAAATGTGGCCCCTGAAAATCGTGTTGAAAGATAAAAGGATCGAAGAATAAATGTGTGTTCTCCCCCCACCCTCTCCATTAGTTTGGTGCTCCAAATAAAACCTTACATTGATAAAACGTCACTCCACCGCACTAAAAATGTTTTAAATTTGTGCTCTGCCGGCGCCGGGGCCATGTTGATATTCTGCCCTGCATCCAGGCACCTGCCCCAGGCTTGTTAACAAGGTGCCCGTGGCAATGATTGCCTGGCCATCAAACTCCCGGCTGATAAGTTCCTGTGGGAGGGAGAGGAGCTCTGTCATTGAATTCACCCCCGATCGCCTGCTCATGCTGTACATTGGAGATAACGCGCCGCCAAAACCCAGCCTCACATCGTCTGTATCGGCCTCCGTGTGACGTTTATTATACGACTTAAGTCTGTACATTGCTGCACAGCATGTTGCAGCTAGTCCCCTATATACCGGATACATCCTGTTGGACGAGTTGATTTATATAGGGGTTGTAGCCTGTCATAAAGATGGTGGCCAGCTCGACACCTGTCAGTTCCAATGTAGCAAGGCCGAGGAAGGAGATCGGCTGATTGATTGAAGCGTCAGAGTGCACAGAGGGTGAGGGACACAGTGACAGGTTCGTGATTGACACAGATGAGAGGGAGGAAAAGAGGATAGGAGCAAGCTGCGGTAAGAGGAGAGGATGCTAAAACAATAGCCAGTCTAAGAGCAGGGATAGAGGGAGATTTAGCAAGATAGATATGCAGAGGAGGAGACAGGTGGTGAGTGGGAGAGGTGGGAATGCGGAGGATGGGTGGATAATCCTTTTTTATTTCTCCGTTGCTGTTCATCAAAAAGCTTTTCTTAGTGGAAGAGAGACAGGGAAAGGAGGTTGAGGAGAATGTGAGAGGGAGAGGAAAAGGGTGAAAAGTATTCCAGGAGGAACATCCCAACTTAAGTCTTGCCCCAGTGAATGTGCTGACAGGGTCTGTCTGCGCCACATTGGAGCAAGTGTCATACTCTAACAAACCACAACCCGCTGCACAGGACACCATGAAACCGGAACTATTTAACACAAGTTTTATCAAATATGTTGATACTTAAACTTGAACTTGATATATATAATATATTTTACAGATTTTGTGTATATTATCCATGGGTACATTTGACAGATTTAGGACATGGAGTTCACATTTACATCATGAAGAACACTATGAAGAAACTGTTGCATTGTGTACCCTGTGGCTCAGAGCCAAGTTTCTAAAAGAAAATATCACTCGTGATATCATTAGACTTCATCTTGGGCTTCAAGGAGTACTTACTATTTGTCACATGCCTCTATGGTGAATAGAGATTCAAAAACGTAGAAAAGTCTTGATGAATTGAAGTAAATGGGGGCCATGTTTACCGACAGCAAATGTATAGCTATTCATTTCATTTCTCAAACTCACGTGTCATTCCCAGTGTATGCTTACAACTACCCAAACAAAAACATTTTTACTATGCAGGCGAAGAAAAACAAACATTGTACGGATGCCGACAGGTGCCAATGCGCTAAAGCAGCCCAAATCATTTCCATCAGGTGAAAAGCACTGCAGTTTCAACAAATTACACAAATAAAAAAAACACAAATGTGCCAAAACACATGCAATGAAGATACAGTTTGATCAACTTAATGAAACATGCACAGTATTTACTATAAGCGTTTCATGTGAGTAATTAATATAGAAATGGTAATTTTGCAGATAAAGTATTCCTTTAAACAAGAACATGTGATACTTACATCTGACATGATCAGGATAAATGCTATTGAGTTGAATTGTGGGAAATGTAAGCTCCTATATATTTTTTACATTGCAATTTTTAGCATAGCACAAGCCAGTCTTTTTCTGAACACAGTAATAATAAAAACTATTTATTTTAATGCAATCTGGCAAATAGCCACATTATTGACTTGTCAGACGCGTAGGCTGATGTTACTGAAATACAACAGAAGTGTGTCCACTCTTATCAGAAAAACAAGCCCGCTGATTGATATCTGACATTTTGATTTGCCGTAGGAATTCCATTTGAGATTCAAGTGCATACAAGAAATATGAGAGCGTGAGTCAGATCCATGAGAGCCAAGGAAGCTTTTAACATCGCTCAAGGCGCCATGTACAACAAAGTGCATCTGCGTCCACAGCTTGCACGCTTTTATTGGGATGCAAACTGACTAATCAAAGCACAGCATTAATCCAGCTAATTAATCACACATCAAAGTGATAGGGAGCTTGCTGGTCTCTTTTTGCTCCGCAGTCCAAAATCCTTGACAGTTGTTCCCATTAATAGCTGCTCTGAGCGTTTTCTAATGGTGTTCTCCTATCTTTTCCCATGTAGAATAGTAACATGATAACTTTGTCTCTTATCTGAAAGATGTGAGAAAAGACACTCGGGTCATAGAGTGCCACAGTGACGCATCCTAAAACCCGGAAGTAAACTCCTTCCGGTTCCTTCGACAAAAACCAATGAAATTTCTCCATAGGATTTTTGAAAAAAGCTCGAAATAAGGTCTGTGGACACAAATTGAAGAGACAGATCACGTTTTGTTCAGCCGGATAATATCCACATGTCTACCCTACTTTTATAATTTAAGAATTATAAATCTTATCGATCATAAATCTATCGATAAGATTTATGTGGATATTATCCGGCTGAACAAAACATGATCTGTCTCTTCAATTTGTGTCAACCACAGACCTTATTTCGAGCTTTTTTCAAAAATCCTATGGAGAAATTGCATTGGTTTTTATCGAAGGAACCGGAAGTGGTATAATGCTAACTTACATCCGGGTTTTAGGATGCGTCACTGTGGCACTCTATTGTGGAGGTATGTGTGTTCTGGGCCTAAAAAGCCCTCTGTGCTTGTGAAGATGTGATTGCTGCTTTGTTAAAAGGCTCAGTCCTGCCTGCTCGTCTCCTACCTGTCTACGCTGCTTCACTATTAATTAACGCTGTGCGATGATTAAAGTTGTAACTTAATTATCTTTATCTTTATTCTCAGGGTGTCCAGCCCTCCGTGGGAAACTGAAAGAGACGCTTCGAGAGAGAAGTGGGAAGAACATCAGCAGAGAGGGGCTCGGCGAGATAGAGGAGGATATTAGGCGGTGTGAAAATAAAGGGGGAGAAGAGAGTGACTGACACCTGCCCTCCAGCTCAGTGTGAAGGACACAGAATGAAAGAGTGAGAGGAGGGGGATGGAAAGAGGGAAGACAGAGGAGAGAATGAAGACAACCGGAAAACAAGGCCTGCCTAACAGCAAACCTCACTCAAATTAGGACATCTCGCCCCAAGACAAGATGATTACAAGGAATCTGCTCCTTTTGGTTTCCTTATGCCTGTGGGAGGGGCTCGCAGGAAGTGCCTCGGCCAGTAAGATTTTAAGGAGGAGAGGAGTGGGTGGATCACACTCACTGAAGCTAGGGGAGAGCAGAGATACGGACCAATGGGATGCAAGCGTGGATGCGAATGCAATGCCCGTGGTGCCTCTTAGAAACCTGATTAGTCACGAGCAGGCGGGTGACACTGGATCTTATTCTCATTCCAAAATATTGCTGAATCATGCTGCTTCATCAGTAGCCAACAAGGAGCGACAAGCTTTCAAGCCCAAGCGCGAGGTCGACTCTGTCAATAAAAAAGAAGTAACTCCGCACATATTAGCCTCTAGCAAGGAGCTAAACCAAGATGCTAAGAAAGTCAAGAACAACACAAAGAATGCTGAGACTTCTATAAAAACAGGAAGGTCAGAGAAGACATTTGCAATCCACCACAAGCCGGAGCTACACGCCAATAAAACTAAGTTTAAATCCGGCTCTAGAACCAGGAGCAGGCCAGATTTGGGTGTCTACACTACAGGTGTGCCAGGAAAAGGGTTCAGCATAGATTCAAACCGAAAGCTGAACCTCACGGGTAGTTACGGGGTTCTGAAGCTGCTGTCGAAAGAGAACCTAGTTAGGATCGTCAATTCCCAAATGCAAAGCGTTCCCAGCCTGAGCTTTCCGAGCAAGGGCAGCCGGAGCAGGAAGAGAGATTTGATTGACGTTAATCACAGAGAGTTGGAGGCTCAGAAAGTGCCAAGACAAGATATGGTTGTCACTCAGCTCCACACTGGTTTTGATAATCAGACAGCGTTCCCTTATTTAAGCCCAGTCACCACCCCAGATATGAATCGTGAGCAGGGAGCGAACACTCGTGTTAATCCTATAAGTGAAGTCAACCCAGCTTTGAGTAAAGGGCAGGGCAGCATGGGAATGCAGGGTTCAGGCGGTGGCGATAGCAAGAGCAAACGCCTTGTCCGTTTGCTGTCAACACCCCACAGCGAGGTCAACATCACCCCCGAGAGAGAACTACCAATCAGCCAAACGGAACCACCATTTACATGGACAAAACATCTCCCGCAGTATCTTCCCTCCGAAACAAATTATTCTCCGCAGTCTGTGCTGACGATCCAACCCGAGGGAGAACGACCGGGGATCGGAGCAGCAGATCCCCACAGAGACCCATTAAAAGAGTCAGTTCTCGCTGCTCAAACAGAGCTCAGCACAGCTCAGTACCCTGCAGATGAAGACAATAAACTTGTCAACAGCAGTCATGTCCTGAGGCTCCACCCGGCTCCCGCATGGAGCCACGATACGAAAGACATGGGGACTCAAGCTGTCGATCCAGAAAACGTGAATGGCCTTGTGTTTGAGGAAGCGGAGGTGGAAGAGGAGGAGCGGGACAACATGGAGGGTCAGGGGCCGCGCTCCCGCAGCAGGAGGAGCTGGATCTGGAACCAGTTCTTTGTGATAGAAGAGTACGCCGGGCCGGAACCTGTGCTCATCGGACGGGTAAGGAAAACTCCATTCATCCTTTACAAGAGCTTTTATCTATTTAATGAGGGTTTTATGAATATTTAAGACACTGTTACAAGTCTCTTACATGGCTTATTTAACCTCCGGCCCTTCTCTCAGGTTCACATCTCACACAAGAAGTGCTTAGTATAATTTAACCCAGCAGTCACGCTCCCACTGTTTTTGTGCATTGTTATAAACCTGCAATTGGAATTGATTTACGTTGCTCCAGCATGATGTGGTGCCTTCCAGGTGGCAGTAAAAACTTAAATGAATCAATGCCGTACTGAGGCACAACAAAGGCCCCAGATCTTGTTTGCCCAAGGGGCCAGTCATGATCACTACCAATCTGCACCCGCCAATGGAAATTGACATATCCAGGAGAATTAATAGCTTTACTTTTTCTTTCCACCATTGATCCTCACCCCAAGGCAGAAAGCAAGAGTAGTCCGAATGTTCCCTCATTTCCCTGTAGGTCAAACCTGTCACATCTCCTCCCCCTCATGGTCAGAGAGGCTGAAAGGTCCCGCTAATGCTATTTCATTCAGACTGATTTACACTTGGTTTTGACAGGATTTATCATTTCATTCTCCCTCAGCACAACACTCACAGGGCTGTGGTCCGAATGCTCGGCTCTGTAATTTATTAGAATCATCGACTGGGCCTGTTTTACCGCCAGCGCCCGACACACCCTCCCTCCTCTGAACCTGGCGAGCAGATGAGCGTGGAGGAGGTCACGTGCACCGGACAGAAGGTGTCTCGGAGCCCTGCTCTATAATGGCCGCTGCTCTCGGGCCCCTCAGCGTGCGCCAACTGTCTCAGTACTCAGCTGCAGTAGATGAGCTAATTTATAAGCCTGGGTGGCCAGTTTGCTGAGCAAATGAATAGTAATGATCCCTGTGCGACTGCTGCAGGCTGTTGGAAGCCACAGTTAGAAATCGGCGTGTTTGTGTGCATGCAGGTGCTCAAAGATGCGCCGGCAGTGAAGGGCTTCGGCTCAGCGGGGTGTGTCTGGCACTCCATAGACGAAAGGGCCTAAATTGCTTTGCATTTTTTGATCTGAATACCCAGGTGCCCACAGACGGACAGGAGCCAGCAGTGTTATGCACAGCCTCCCTGAGTACGCTGATTATTAGCCAACATTTAATTTGGCTTTTTTTTGCCTTTTCGTTATGAGTGATGATGGTCCGAGCTACGAAACATTGTTACTGGCCATGGAGAAAGATGCAAGAGCTAACGGTCCAGCTTACAGATGGCACCGCGTGTAAAGCCATTAGTGCCAATCTGCTGTGTCAAGCAGGTATTTATGCCAGCACATTGTATGGCACTCAAGAAGGGAACACCGCCAGGCCACACACACATGCCCATATGATAGTGCTGACACTTGGAGAGCACCCAGAACGCTATTGTGACTGTGTGTTTGTGTGTGTGTGCGCGCGCCTGAGATGCGTATGATTAGTACCCTACTGTATTAGACAGTGACGGCACACATGCATAATGCTCTTATAGATCTTAATACGCTTATGAATTTTTAATCTCCTGCTCTGCTCCAGTGCATGCCGGTGCTATAGGTAGAGAGATCAATGCTGACACGCTGCCGTGTTTTTCCCTACAAGGGACCTGATTGTGCTTTAATGGAGAGCGCTGTGATGGAGAGCGTGAAGAAATGGACTGTACAGGCCGGAGCAGCGCCACCTGCCAGATCTAACACTCCAAATTCAGGCTCAATCACTTGCAAACACTCCTGCCTGTGCCTCACAACACGTGTCCCTCCTTCAGACGGCTTTACTGTGTCCAACACACAACAACGCACATCTGAAGGTGTGATTCAGTATTTAAATGTGGGCTATATTTAACAATCCACCCTCTAACACTGATTCATGTCGGGGTTTTTTTCTGTCATCTCGGACAGTTCAATCTGGATAAATCTCTGCAAAGCTGCATACAAGAGCCAATACTCTAATCTGTGATGTCCGTGAGAGACAAAGGGCTCTGCTGCTAAGGCGATAATGAGTGAGGGGCCAACTTTGTGGACACATTGACACCGTCCAGTCTAATTTTTCCATGGATATTTATAAGCAGTTTTGTCAAAGCTACGTACATAAAAAACAAACTCATTTGGTATTAAATCTAAAATAATTACTCACCAGATGGCCATTCGCTGATGCTGGAGTGGCCTTTGAAATCTGTCAATAGCATCAAAGATCTAAGTTGTTATTTGCAACTCGTAGTGTCTTCTTTTTGAAGAGGTTTACAAGAATTGCAAAAAAAAGGGCAAGAAAAAAACATCTGAACCGTCTGACACAGTTTTCTGCTCTTTATCAACACTCACTTTATCTCTCTACACACACAAGCAGATATTAAGACACATGCGCACAATCACACACACACACACAGACGATGCCATGTAACTATATTTTTTCCCAACGGAGTGTCTCTGCCCCGTGATAATTGTGAATTTAATTGATGCTGTCACATGTTCTGTAATGGGGTTTCAAGTGATTGCAGAGGCAGTGTGAAAGAAACACAGACTTTTCTAAAGGAGAAAAGGCGCCTCAGCAGAGCTGGGATTAAGAAAAAAACCCAACCACTTTCTGATTAGCTTTTCTTCCTCCTTTTCCTCTCCTCTTGAAATGCAAACTCCCTAACACCTCGTGCGGGGATACAATGTGACACATATATATAGCATTTCCTTCCTCTCTAGAAAAAAATTCCAGCATTTCCATCTTGCCCTGAAATAAAAAATATATACATTTATAATAATATCTATTTGCAATACGTTTCATACAAAAATGCACCGCTAAATGCTCTTCTGTAAAGGAGGATATACCCAAAAGATAACTTAAAAAGTGTTTTGTCGAGATCGAAATGACAATTTCTCAGTCTTGCCCTTAACAAAAAGGAAATGTATGTAAAATGTATAAATAAATAATAATAATCAAATGTATTTGTATAGCCCCTTTATTAAAAATATGCTGCACTGAATGCTTTTCTATAAAGGATAATATACCCAAAACATGACATAGAAATGTAGATTAAATGAAAAAGAAAACAATAAAAAAAACTAAAATAAAGAAAATATAATAAATAATAAAATAATAAAATAGGATGGTAAAGCATACATGGAATGCAAATCATAAGTAAGAAAATAATCCTTAAAAATAATACCTATATTTTTAATTTATAATTAAGGAATAATTTTCCCATTCTACATATTCTTATTTTTATCTTCAGTAAATATATTTGACTTAATATTAAACCTAAAATGTGACGTCTTCAACAACATTTATTTTCTGAGGCCAGGAGTGAACACTCACCCTGCCACCCTGACGTACGCATGCCAAGTGTGTGAGCTACCTGGCATGTCTGCGAACATGCATAATATGTAATCACCAGTGTGACCTAGGGCTAGGCGATCATCATCATTAGCATATCATTAACATCAGCCCCAACATACATAATTCATAGCTAATGAAATATGCCTGTATAACACAATTAACATTATTGTCTTAACGACGAATGACACTGCAGCACAGTTAAAACATCAAACGTGCAGACATCAATGTGAATGACTAATTAGATACTTTCAGATTCTGCCACATTAGACAATAGCAACCAATTCTCGAGGGTAGTAGCACTTTCTTATAATTTTGAATCATTCATTAACAGTCACTGGTGAAGATTGCTCTGCAAAATGAAGTTAAAAGATTCCTCCAGCCCGAAGGCATCTAAATATTTATAAATTAGATTGTCATGAGCGTTCTGGTATTGATAGCTCCAGCGCCTCTGTGCATGGCCTCTGGGTGCAACGTGCACACACATGGAATTATCCGAAAGTGCTCATAGGAAGTTGGTGGTGTGATGCAAGGGCGTGAAGGAGGCTGTCACAGGAAGTTAAGTGCCGGTGTTTGAGACCTCGTATGTGTGTATTCACATTATGTTATTTTCTCCGATGTTCACTCTAGCAAGAGCCCTTTTAGTAATTAGCCACAAGCCAGTGTTGGGTAAAGTAACTAAGTACATTCCATCACATGCAATTTTGAGGTAAAGTGCCTTTACTTCATTTCATTTAAATCCTTTATTTATCCAGGTGTATCCCATTGAGATCATTGATCTCTTTTTCAAGGGAGACCTGCTCAAGTAGGTTCCACATGAAACATAAAAACATAAACAGAACAACAAAAAGGAAATTTTACAGCATCATTACAGGGATTACAATTTACAATAACTATCCACATGAGCAGGTACCAACAGCTTCCGATTTAGTAGCATCCAACCGAGCTTTAAAAACATTTAGTGGCACCAGATTGCTCAGTTTCCATTTAAATTGCAGACTATTCCAAGACAGAGGAGCTGCGCATCTAAAAGCTGTCTTCCCTAAGACAGTCCTAGCAGTTGGCACATTTAATAAAACTACAGCATGCGATCTCAGGGAGTAGCCACTTACAATTCGCCGTGAGATCAGGGAGCAGATGTAGGATGGAAGTTTCCCTAACATGGCTTTATATATAAAAATGTACCAGTGACTGAGCCTCCGTACAGTTAGCAAAGGCAAACCAGCCCTTGCATACAGGGTACAGTGATGGGTTAATGCTTTACAGTTTGTCACAAATCTCAGTGCACTGTGATACGCAGCATCTAACTTGACCAGGCAATTGGCAGGTGCATTCATATACATCAGATCACCATAGTCCAGCACAGGTAAAAAGGTCACAGTGACTAGCCTTTTCCTGGCCTCAAGCGAGAAACAGGACTTGTTCCTGTAGAAGAAACCTAGCCTAACCCTCAGCTTTTTAAGCAGGTTATTGACATGACGTTTAAAAGTGAGACAATCATCAAGCCAGATACAAAAGGTATTTGTAACAGGTAACCACTTCAATTTTTATTCCTTGCGTAGTTACAATATCTACAACAGGCTCTGGTGTCTTTTTAGCTTTTGAAAAGAGCATTACCTTGGTTTTCTCAACATTTAAAATAAGCTTTAGTTCAGAGAGCTG